TTCTTTTTACTTATTTTTTGCAATAATTACCATGAATACATGTCTATGCATTGCATAGGTCATTGATACAATTAACACTCTTTGCACTTCACACTCTGGTCCAAATGTGGTCACCTTAGCAACAAAACACCACCCCACCATGAGGGCAGACAAAATGTTAAGGTTTAGGTTTCAAAACATGGAGCCCAAAAGCCAGTTTAGGAGGCCACGGTAAATATATCCATTTAAAAAAAAAATACAGTCTCTATTGCAGCAGGGAAAGGTGCTCCTTCTGTTCTGCTATTGCGCTGTGAGTGGGAGGGCAACTCTAACCAACCTGCAACAGGTGGAATCTGTTCCACCTCTCTGCACTGAGCTCTCCGAGGCTGTGGAGCAGAACTGCGGCCGTCTACACCTGTACTCCAAGATGGTAGCGTTGGGGCTAACTTTAGAAAGACTTGCAAGCCCCAATTACACTAATCTGTTTATTTCTTGTAAAGCAGGCTGCTTGAAGAATTAAAAAAAACTTACACACAACAGTGTGTATGGTTCCTTGCAGCACACAGGAACACATAACCTTGATGGATGAATTAAAAACTGCCAGAAAGGTGAATGTGGGTACATTTTGTGCTCTCTCTCTGTGTAGGTGATTTGTGAATGAGAACTGCAGCTGACAGGCCTTCTGCCTCACAGGCTGCTCTCTCCTCAGGGGTCACAGAAACCAGAGGTTTCTCTCCACCTCACAGAAACCCAAGCTGGGCCCATACGCTTGCCTCCGGGGTCACTGATGGCATCCAACCCCCTTCAGAAGAGGGCTGCAGCTCGGCCGATGGCCCAACAGCTCGCAGAGAGAGCACACATGCTCCAATTCCCATACACACACACACACACACACACACACACGCACTGCATGCATAACACCCGAGCATACGGCATTCACAAAGCACACTTGCACGCTTTTCTGCCAACATGTTTTCCTCTGCGTATACACGCAGAGACACGCACACACACCCACACCCATACAGGGTGAGTGTATCCTTTCATTAACAAGGATGAGAGTCAATTTCCACTCCTGTCGAGTTAGGCTGGCCGCTGGTGGGGAGGAAATCTGTTTGCTGATGGCAGTTTTGACATTCAAGCGTCTCTGTGGCTGGGGGAAGCCCTGTTTGTCCTGATCGATGATCAGGGCCAACAGAGGGTCTTCTACTGCATGACTACCTAGAATACTGTCACCCTCATCAACACATACACGTGTGTGTGTGTGTGTATACACATCCTTGCACACGTCAGTGCTTGGACTTAAAGTAGGATGTACATAATACATACGTGAGCTTTATAAGTGAAGAATCTTATTTATTACTGCTGTAGTTGCTTAGAGTTAAGAAAAAAAAAGGGATTTGTCAGGCGCGAGGAGTTTGATGATATATTACATTGGGAAGCGATCTGTTCCAGTGCAATTTCAGCATTATATACTGTAGCCAGTGTGGAGGATAGGAAATGACTGTTTCCTATTTCAAACTTGAACTGCAGTGGCTCGCCAGAAGCAAGTAGTTATAGTCTTGTTACTTAAAAATACACACTAAAACCAAGTCATTG